AGCAAGTACAGGGAATTTGGCCGAGAAATATGTCGTTCGGGGAAATTGATCAAAGAGGGAGCCAAGATCGAGCATCCAGCTGAGTCAAAATGAAGCCTGTCGTGGGATGGGAGCGGTGAACGTGCGTAAAGATTTACTGGATATAGCACAGAGCCAGGATCCTGGAGGACGACGCCGTGAGAGTTACGGAGAGAGCTGCCAGCGTTGATGCGAGGGTGGTCAGAGGAAGAGAAAGCGCGACGTGTTTGTTTGGTTCGATTTTGACAGCTGTCAAGTATTGGTCAGATCAAGATAAGATTCCGCGGCTAGGGCCGAACGAAGCTCATCATCTCCCCCTGACTGAAATTGCGACTGTCCTCAGTCACCCGCTTGCGACGATCTGGGCCCTTTGGAACTGCTGTATGTGACAACTCGGGACGGCGCTTCTAGATCTCCCACTATCTGATAGTTTCCGACAACCGCTAATCTGCCGCTGGGTCTTCCTCTGCATCTGCATCATCATCTTCCGGGTCTCCGAGCGTGAATTCTTCCAACTCGCGCAAACGGTCGGTCGAGATGTCAATGAGATCCTCGATCGCTGGGATGGGAATGCTTTGGCGAGCGAAATACGGAATAACACGGAGGGCCGCAATTGGCCGATGCAAGACAGATCCGTCGAGCTCACAGAGGATGTATGCGGCGCCGCGGTTACGGGAGATAACAATGAGTGGTCCAAGATATCTGCTGCGCATTTTCCGGTTTAACGATTTTTCTATGGCTGTATTGCGCATCAAGACCAAATCTCCGCGCTGGAAATTGAAGTCGCGGATCGTGCTGGCGTGTTCGCGCTCGAAACGGATAGCTGCGCGGATCCGTGCTTCGAAGACGTCCGAATGAAGCTGTGCCAATTGATCGCGACGTTTCTGGAGGGCTATGGCACGGCGGGCGATTAATTCAGTCGAGGATAGGACGGACTCGGGAGGCGGTAGAAGATATGTTGCTTCGGAGATGTCGAGGGGAAGAGGTGGGTGGGTTCCGGTCGCAGCAAAGTACGGTGAGCATCCCATTCCTCGGCGGACAGTGACGCGATCAGCCCAGAAGACTGAACAAGTCCCAGTATGCCATTTAGATTCATCGCCATCAACAGCTTTATATAATGTTTGTCGCACATCGAAGTGAGGTCGCTCCGCAAGATTTGCACGTGAGTTATAGCCTGAGATGCGAACATGGTGTATGCTGTAACGCTGCTCGAGGTACGTGAGCGCTTTAACGAAGGGGGTGCCGTTATCTGTGACGATCTCGATGAGGGTGCCCCAGCGACACAAGATATCCTGAAAAATCCAATCCCCGATGGCCTTCGCAGTTTCTCGGCGCAGCATCCGGAACTCGGGGTAATGAATGAGCGAGCAGCGACCCTGGACGATATATTTGAAGCCCCCACTCGGCGGTAAGTGCATCGTGTCCATGTACATCTTGGCAAACAGCGGCGCGGGCGTGGCGACTGTGGGAGGAATTTTAATCTGCCGAATTTGCCTCTGCTGACACAAGAAGCAGGTACGGACTATCGCTAGCCATGTGAGGCCACCAAAATCGCTCCATGAGAAGTGCGCGTGTCGCGAAGAACCCCTTGTGACCAACATCGTCATGCGGGGACCGAAGAATGAAGAGTCGGTGGCTGGGAGTCACGACAAGCGTGTGACGATTCTGGGGGTGTTTGCGCCATAGTGCTCCATCAACCAGAAAGAACTCCATGCAGTACTGCACGAAAGATTGATATTCTGAGTCAGACAGGTCGCGTGGACGTTCCAGTTTCTCGTGCCATAAACGGACAAGGTCAACACGCATATCTGCGATTCTGGCCGCATCGGAACGAGGGACCAGGTCGTAAGAGAGGGAAGGAGGGGCCTCGGCATCTTCGGGAACAGCTTCGGCAGCAAGAGTCGTGATGGTGTACTGGGTGTGGCAATGCACGAATGGTGAGTCGTTGATTATGTGTATAAAGCCGTGAACCTGGTCAATCCAGTCATCAAAATCATCTTCAGGCTCAGGCTCATCTCCAGGCTGCGCGGGGCGTCGAGACAAACCGTCAGGTCGATGTGAAGTGCCGGGGACGTGGACAAGTGTGAAATGGAAGGTGAGAATGGCAAGAATCCAGCGGTTAATGCTCGCGCTGGGGGCTAGATCAGGGTTGACAAGCATTCCTTTGATGTATCGTGCGTCGACTTCTATGACAATGTTGCGCAGGCCAATTAAATAAATCTTCCACGCACGAAGGGCTCGGAACAAGCCGTAGAGCTCGAGTTTCGGCTGGGAGAAGCGCGACTCGCGGTCATTAAGCGTGATGGATCCAAAGCGTGCGTAGAACCGGCGAGATAAATTATCAGGGTCGCACTGGGAGAGCAAGAAACCAATGGCAAGATAAGAAGTGTCGACTGAGAGGATGACGGGGACGAAGGAAGTGTAGTCGAGAGGGCGTAGCGTGGGACAAGTGACGAGTCAAGTTGCGCAATCATCGCATGCGGAATTGGGGAAGGCTAGGCGGTACATAGTATCAGACTCCGCCACCCCTGCGCCATGATGCGGTCTCACCTGTGTGGAATTGCGCAGGGCGACGTCAACAGGCGCTCCGGCGACGATGGAGATGGTCATGAGAGCGCCGGCGAGCAGAAGCAAGCGAGTCATGGCTGGTTTGCGTGAGGAGACCGTGGTGGGTGATGAAGGTCAAGAGGGAGATGCAGACGGGCGACTGAGAAACTTCCGCGGCGCGCGGATCAGAGGGAGCCGTGCGGAATCAAAATGGGGCCTGTGTGAGACGCGCATAATTCAACCGAGACCTCAGACCGAAATGCCCGATGACGCGAAGTCCGCGGGAAATTAAGACCCAGAGAATCATGGCGTTGTTCTGGAACTAATGCTGGCCTCCTGGAGAAGCGGGAATCGCATCTGCTGCCTTCCTGTGCTCTATCATCCGTCCAACCGGAGCAAAACACCTCCTCTCCCGGGTGCATTACCTCACAGTGCGCGAGTTTGATATGGGAGATGTACAGGTTTCATATGAGGTAGTTCCACGAATATTTGCAAAAATGAATAAACCTAGGGGTACATTTGGAGCGCCAATGCCCTCGTTGATTCCATCATCTCATTTTCCGCAGACACTTTGCACATATGAAATGACCTTTGCCACAGGAACTTCATGGTCTTGGGGTAGTGCCGGAATGTCAGGCTCTGTCGTCGCAACATACGTGATCTTCGCGGCGGTGAGGTCAGGTAGTGGCTTGAGACGAAGCGTTGTTGCTCCTCAGGAGTAGACATGATTTCAAGAAGTCGCGTACGACAATATTCTGGAGAATAGTGAGCGAAGTGGAAAAGGACAAACAGAAGATGCGTACCAGCGGATCCGAGGCCGGGGCTGCACGAGAAAGCGTGAACATGGTGAGGATGGTAAATGCAGCGAGCCTCATAGTAGCAGATGATGGGATGGCTGGCAAGTCACGTCAGAACTGGAAAGGAATGGAAACAGAACGGACTTACTTGTGGTGGAGAGAGCAAGAAGGAAGTGCGGATAAAGACAGCAGGCAGGAGGCAATTTTATGGCCTGGCGGTCAGGGGTGATTCAGAGGGAGTAAGGCTCGATTCATCCGCGAGATCGAACAGGCTGTCTCAGCTGGGAAGACTACGACTATAGTGGGCCTGGGTGATACCGCTGCCTTTGAACCCCTAGACGGGAGGCGTGGGTTGAACAGGACCAATGCACCACACCCCAAGTTATCCAGCAGCGAGCCGGTACCTGAAAGGAATTGACCCTCTTAGCTATGACGGGTTCGCTGATCAGAGGGAGACACCGCCATCTGAGGGATGCACGCTCAATGCAGATGCGGACCGTTCGCCACCGAGCCGGTGCGAGGAGTTGTCCTTCACCGAGCATGACGGCTTCGCTGCATAATAATGGGGACTCGACCTCATCCGTCGGTTGAAGCTCCTGCAAAAGAGGTGAGTTAAGCGAGGTGCAAGGATGAGTGAGGAGCGAAACTTCCCAACGGTACGGAGTAGACCAAGGTAAAGGACAGAGGAACAACGCGTCAAAAGAAGCCGGTAACCAAGTCAAGGCTCGTCCCGAGTCGAATGGGGATCTCCTGCACGACAAAAAATGGGAGAAGCAAGTAAGCAGTGCAGACGCGGATCCTCCGTCATCGAGCCGGTACTACAGTAGTCGGGAGCGGAGCCTCGTTAGATTCAATAACTGCGTGGGCATGAATGAAACTTACGGCATCAGGTTGAAGTTCTCCTGAAAAGGAGGTTAGTTGAAGGGGTGCAAAGACTGCGTGAGCAAACGAATCTCACCCGACTGCAGAAACGAGAGCGCAATCAAAGGAGTCTCCAGGGACAATGCAGTGGCTTGACCCCGAGTCGAACGGGGATCTTCTGCAGAACGTCCTTGATATCTGCCTAAGCAGTGCAGAAACGAACCGTCCGCCATGGAGCCTATATCAAGAAGGAATTGTTCCTCATTTAGTGGGATTGTTTCGTTGCGCACTAGTGGGGTGTCCGGCTGCTTGAGCCTCACCGCAAATCAAACTAGTTCAGCAAAGCGCAAGAACGAGGGGGAAACCTCACTAGGTTTGACTTGTACAACATGCTTAGACCTCTCTGCTGCAAACGAAGTTGGTTGAGGGGGTAAAAATGAACGATTGGAAGGCGACTCTCACCTAGACAAAAAAACCTCGACATATACTGACCATGGCTCGACCCCGAGTCGAAGGGGGATCGTCCGTGGGCAACGCCATAGAGATTTACGCAGCGCGGATGCGGACCATTCGTCATCGAGCCGATACCAGGAGGCAGTTGTCCCTAGCTTGATTCTTTGCGGGGCGCATTGGTAAAATAAAAGGAGGCACCATCATCCGGTTGAACTTCCTGCAAAATAATTTAGTCAAGCAAGGTGTAAAAACCGAAAGGAAGCAAAGTTTACCTGGCAAGGCAAAAGAAAGAACGCGTGGCAAAACTGAGTTCTATCTAGTGCATGGCTCGACCCCGAGTCGAACGGGGATCTTCTGCAGCATTCACTTGAACTGGCACTTATGTGGTGCAGGCGCGGACCGTCCGCCATCGAGCCGGTATTCTGTGTGTGAGGTCCTCGAATATGCCAATGAATGTTCTCGCAAGCACCTGGGGATTTGGCGGCTGAAGAGTAAAATGGATCGCACGAGCGCAGAACTGATCACCACTCGTTGGGATCGAATCGATGCCTGGATATTGAGCGAACATACCAGGTATGATATATGATGGATAAGGCGAAGAGGGGGCGGGGGTGAAAAAAAGGTGACGTGGGCACAGCGCTGACCCCGAGTCGAACGGGAATCTTCTGCAAATCCAACAGTACCTGCTCTACGCAACGCAGATGCGGGCCGTCCGCCACCGAGCCATTCTGAGTCCTGAGGTGTGCTTAGTTAGATCGGGGGTGTTTGTTGATAATGCTGTTCGGCTTTTTTGATTGCTAAGATTCAGCTGAAGACGAGGTGGTCCGAGTATAAATGTTGAGCGAGGAATAGTATGGGCCTGCCAAGCGGGGAAAATCAGAACAACGATGCGGGAATATAGGAGTAACGATGCGAGAATGACACAAAAACAATGGTGAAAGTGGAATGGCTCGACCCTGAGTCGAACGGGGCTCTTCAACAACAGCAGGCCTGGGGCACTGGGTTATCTGGCGGACTTTTCGTCATCGAACCGGTAACGTCCCTCTCTGGGTGCAGCATTCGAAACGCTGGTTAGGTTCATCGTTTCCGATGTTATAAAGAAAAGGAGACTCGCCTCCGGCCAGCTGCTTGAAACTCTCCTGCAAGTTGAGCAAGGTGCAAGAAAAGAACCCGCGGCAAAGAAGGTTCCATCCAGCGCATGGCTCGACCCCGAGTCGAACGGGGATCTTCTGTGGTACCCTGTGCGAACTTCAAATGCAGTGCAGACGCGGGCCGTCCGCCATCGAGCCGACACTGGCTGGGAGTGGGGCCTCGCTAAGTCCAGTAATTGCGGTGTTGGAGAAAGAGACTCGCAGCCATCCTGCTTCTTGGATATCTTCCGCAAATTAAACTAGTTAAGCGAGGTGGAAGAAATGTGCAAGAATGAACCTCACCCGACGCGCAGAAAAGAAAACAATGCTATCGAGTTTGATGGCTCGACCCCGGGTCGAACAGGAATCTTCTGCAGGATATACCGCTCCAAAGACAACGCCATCGAGCCCGGGGTGGTATTGTGGTAGTAGGGTCGAGTCGGTCGACTGCCGGTTATGTCACTGATTTTCAAGTTGCAGCTGCCGTGGATACTGGAGAATGCGGCGAATCAAGCGCGCGGAGGATCCAGATCCAGTGTATACTTACCTTCGGTACTGTGACTGGTTCCAGGTGGACGTTTGAGCACAGGCTTAGTCCCGTGTTTTGCCGCATCCGGATCACCCCGAGTCACTCAGTCACTCGTCACAGTCACACACCATCGTTCATCTCGTTGCTCTTGAGCCTTCCCCACCACGCACGCCGACCCCGAGGAGGAGAAGCCTGCCCCCGCTTGGGAGCAGGCGCCCAAAGAGGAGGATGAGGAGGAGCCCGCCAAGGATGTGCGTGAGGAGTGACCTGGAGTGTTGAGGATGGTTGAGGAATTGTGCGTGCCCCGGGCCTCTCCTTCCACCGCCCCCTGCTTACTCTTCCCTGACGACGCAGGTGTAAGCATGATTCCCTGCGTGTGCCCGCTGACTCACCCCGCTCTTCTGCCTTGCCCACACAGTCCAGTACGCCCCGGCCCCGGCCCTCGGCATCGTCGTTGCTAAGCCAACTCAACGCAGCCTGATGTATTGCTCCGAGGTTTGCGCCGCGCCAGCTCTTCACCGAGATGCGCTACGTCACCCCCGAGCCAACCAGCCACACTTGGACGGCCGACCCGCACTCCCTTACACCCGCGCGGCTCTCGATGCCCCACTCGGTGGCGCTTGCCTCCACACGAAACGGGCGCGCGCGCGAACGGTGCGCCCTACAAGTCAGCCGCCCGCAGGAGACAATGACTCCGACGAGGTGCACAATCACTGCTCATTTCCTTCCTCGCATCACGCTAACATATCGCTGCCCAAACCACTAAGGTATGTATGCCGGAATCGAATAAAATTGAACCCCTCACCTAAACGCGCACGCGGAGCTGAGTGTACGATTAGCGAGATGACAAGGCGAGGAGATTGAGGATACCTGCGAGCACGAGTTTAGCGGGAATAGGAATTCAGCGCATAGATCTCGCTTGGTGCATTCGAGAGTTGGAGTCAAGTGGGCTGAGGAGAGGTGAGAGGTGAGCAGGGTCCGAGATTCTGAAATTTGAAGACTGAATGGGGTGGCTTAGCGTGCAACTGGACGAGGGATGGCATTTGACGCAGAGGACTTGGGAGTCCCGCACACCAAACGCAAGTCCTCAGCGGCCCCACTCTGAATAACCCCAGCAGTACGAAGCTCAACGTCGCGAAATGGACAGACAGAAACATGAATGAAGATATGTAGGATAATGCACTAGAACCAGTTGAGCGGCATGCTTATCACCCCAACTTGAAATCGGGTTCAAAGTGGACACTTCAAGAAGTAGCAAGTATTTGTGAGTACAACAAAATTTGAATGAAGAGTAAGCATACATACCACAGATAATATGTGGGCGGAAACTTCAAGCTTCAAGTCGAAGCCTACCTCGCCGACGATGCCTGTCCCAAGTGTGGAGTAAATGAACTGCGAGGAGGTGAGCGACAGATTGAAGATAGATAAAGAAGCATGCATGCCTAAATGCAGACACCACTGAAGGTGAATGACCCTCGAGTTGAGGGCCCGGTTGCGAGCATGAACGAATGAGTGTGATAGACGAGGACTTGCCTGGACTGGACGAGGTGGCAAGCCTGTAGACACCCTCTGTCGCTGTACACTCGGATGGGCACAGTCCGCTATACTGTACTATTTCAACCAAGTGTTCATAGTGTCACGGCCACGCATCACTTTCAGTGTTCGAATGATAGTTCCTCGGCAATCATGGGGAAATTGCCATATATGGCAATGCGGCAAATCCCGGACCAGAAAAGTTGAGCATACTTCGGCTCTAAATTCTCAATGTCAACGTCACCGGTGGCTCGTACAGTTCAGTGGGACGTGTCACGCGTGAACGCTCGGTCGAAATAGCGCAGAATAGCACAGTATACCCTTCATTGAATCGGTTCTTCCGTCGTTGTTCCGTCCCGTCTGACGGTTTTTATCCGAAGAAAAGAAAAAACTTGAGAATGCGATGGAATTCCACTACATCTGGTGATAGGTAATGCACACAAGCAGCTCAACTTGGATGCATTGTGGTGAAATCGGAATACCGCGGGCCGCGTCCGATCATACTGCACTTACATAAATGTGATGTTGTGATTGTGTCATTGCATCCATCGGATTGCATCCATCTTCCATGCTGATAGCCAGCATCTTCCCTGTCATATATTCGACCTAAATATCCTATCTCGTCCAACCTATTCTTCACCGCACTCCGAACAGATGTCCGTGCTCTTGGGATCCCCGAAATCTTGCCTGAATTCTATCTGCGAACACGTCCCCAAGTTGAATTTGACCCGCTTGGAAGATTTACCGAGCACCCTATCCTACAGGTGCGTGTTGATCGGCCGCCAGCAGCCAGCTCTTAAGGCCCCGCGAAGGCAGGTACCGGCCTTAGTATGTTGAACTGTGACATACATATCTATTGATGATACAGGATCCGACTACGAACTGGCACGTTAACCGCGACGGAGCGGGCTCTGGTTCATCCACAATGGTTATATCTAGCTCACTTGGCAAGGAATGAAGCCTACCTACTTCTATGCGCAGTGGCTTAAGCGGCCGGGCTTAGTTGGGCTAAGGGTGTTGAGGAGGTTAAAGCGGAAAAGAACGGATCAAGTCAGGTTGGCGATCAGCTTCAATTGTATGGTTACTGAGACCTTGACAGGCCTAGACACAGCCTATTTTGGCTTGGCTTCTTTTCTCTCACGTACGGACGTGGCGATCTCTACGGCGTTTTAATCCCGCTACAAATCATCGCAACTTGAAGTTCCCCGCTGCACTCGCCTACGGCTGCTATGCTCTGGAACATCAGTCTCTTGACAATTGGCGTCGGTAGACAGTTGGAAGATGTCTTTTCACCCCGCAGGCACGAACAACATTTTTGCTTTCCTTCCACAAACCTTTGTTCCTTGACGCCCGGCTTCTTGAGTGCACATGTATAAGAACGTCAAGCGACCCGGGCCTCGACATCACCTGGCCTTGGTTCACTTCGGGATGTTATCATCCTCACGGCTTCTTGCACTTTCTGCACTCGTCATAAGTCTCGTCGTAGGTTGTGAGTTGCCCGTCTCTATATCCCTGACCTCATTGACTATATCCATCATAGCGGCGAGCGCTATCGTCCCGCCAGGACAGCAAGGCGCTTTCAATCAGTCAATAACGCAGGCGTCCGATGGGCCGACGACCGACGCTAATCTCATCGCTCAGACGGTGAAGCAAGTGAATCAGAAATCAGGTGCCCCGGACGACGAGGCGCCAGATGCGGATATCCCCCCGACTGGCGTCACCGCAATCGATGGGGTCTTGACGAGCTCTACCGTTGCGGATGTCACCGGCTCCACTAGCGCCCACCGCCGTCGGCCCCGCCATTTCTTCGGCCGCTTTGACAGGCGCCAGTCGGGCTTTGAGGAGATCTTCGCAGGTCTGCCCGCCTCCCAGCACGACGCAGCCATTGAAGGCACTGCTTATCTCACGTACACACTCGTCCCAAACTCGACATACAATGTTGATGCTTGCTTGGCATGGGCAGCGACTATCGATGGCTGTGGTATGTTAACCTCGTGTCTGCTACTACTTGAAGTCGCTGACATCGACAACGTCAATCTAGTGTTTGTCAACCTGTACTACGAGTTCAACAACTATCTCCTCGACTTTGTCTTCAGCGAGGAATCTAACCTCAAGTGTGTCGCGTACGCAGACATCCACGACGCCTCTGAGAAGATCAACTTTGGTGGCCAGGCATCGTACCCGCAGGCAAGTGGCCATATTTTGTCCCGCGTGGACTAGTCTC